ACTTTCCAATAATGTCATGGAATATCAGTACTTCGCCCTTTGTGCCCCTGTCTGTTTGTCACTCTTTCATTGTTTCGCATCTAATGTTAGGGATGTCCTGATCATGGAAATGCAAATTGTGTTGAGTTTGCAGGATGAGCCCTTAGCCTGCAAGCACTTTGGGACAGGGACCTTCTTTTAATTTATAGGCCCAATTCTGTGCTCATTTACATCAACATAAATGAGGAGTAACTGCACTGAAGTCTTTGGAGTTGCACGGCTGTGAAACTGGTGTAAACAAGAGCAGTATTTGGTCCTGTGGTTGTAGCCCAACCAAATAAATCAAACTTGCACAAAGCAATTCAATATCATTACAGCCCCAATGGCAGTTAATACACTTGATGCCATAATTAGATCAATGGACCTTTCTCTAGTTAAATCCCCAGACTCCGATATTTGTACTAAAGGTCTTTACAAAGCAAAGGAAAAGTTGAGCTGCTAAATGATCATTTTTGAAAGTTCCTAGTTTCCGTGGGAGAGGAAGGACTACTGTCTGACTGGATTAGAAACCAACAACTATTGCACCAGTTTGTAAAGAAGGGATGACCAGGAGCGTGGGATTTGAACCCAGAGAGAGAAACTGTTAAAAGGGAATTTGTAAATCATGGTCAACAAAAGGTTTGCACAACAATAATCAGTGGGAATGTGTAATGGGAAATCCTTCTGGGGTTTCAGAGGAGATTTCAAAACATGCTGAGTAAAGCCGCCTGAAAATCCAGAAGCAACAAGTACTGTCTTTTTTTTTTTTTTTTTAGTTTTTTACTAAAAAATCAAAATGGCAATACTCCACAAGATATAAGAAAACAGAGGGCACCCATCCCCATGTCCTTCATGCTCCTTCGATCCATGTTATACAAATAATATATCATGGGCAGCAGGTATAATATGCCAGGTGAGGCTAAACCTCCCCTAAGTCCAAGCCCTGCCCATGCTCCGCCCTTTCCCCCAAGCTGATGGGAGCTCAGCTGCCACTGGAGGCCAGTGGCCCAGTGCTGGGGCCCACACTGGGGGGCGGCCGGCAACCTGGTGCTGGGGGCGGCCGGCGGCCCTGTGCTGTGGCTGCGCTGCAGGCGGTCCAACGCTGGGGCGGACGGTGGTCCTGGGCAGTTCAACCGGGGCTCCTCCAACCACGGGGGGTGAGGGAGCGCTTGGGGCTCCAGCGGATGGGGGGGGCAGTAGGGGCTCAGGTAGAAGGGGCGGGGCCGCGGGGCTAGCCTCCCTGAAGGGGGGGGCTCACGCGCCACTCATGAAATATATATTTAAAAAATACAATTCCTATAGGGCAAGGGAGGGCTTGTGCCAGCCCCTCTGTGCCACTAAAGCTTTGCCATAGAGCTCTGCAGGGAAAGGACTGAGGAGTGAGGGGAGCTGTGCAAGGTGTGGTTGCCATCCCTCCCCTTTCCCATGCATGATAGAGTGGTACTCTGCACCCACCTTTAGTTGGCTGGTGCAGAGGGGGTCAGAGGAGGGGGCCCCTTATGGAAAATGCTATTGACCATAGCAGAAAACAATAAACTTTGAATTTATTATTTGAATTTAATAGAGATTTATTATTATTATTTAATTATTGCATGTATATACTAACACCTAGGTACTCCAGTCATGGACCAGGACCCATTGTGCTAGGTGCTGTACAAATGGACCAAAAGGACAGTCCCTGCCCCAAAGAGCTTACAATCTAAGTATAGGCCTGCTATAGAATTGTATAGGTCCAAATACCTATGGAAAGGATGTTATTCTCTACAGATTTTAAAGAGCATCTATAGAACTCTATTAAATGTCTGTGTAGAACCCAGTTGTTTTTAGTTCATTACATTCAGTAAGGCTTTCCCATAAGCTTGACCAAATAGTAGTTGCAGAGGAGTGTTCGCCACTCTTGCAGCCCATAGACTGGAACAGTATCGCTACAGACCTGCTTGTGGGTTACAGGATGAATTCTGTCCCCATTGGATTGGGAAGGTAAATTAATTTCACCCATGTTCATTGCCAATCACATTGTTCTCATCAGACAGGGAAATTGCCATTCTGTGCTATGTTTCCTAAGCACTGGCCCATGGCTCCCTGTAACAGCAGAATCACTGGTCCTGCCACCCAACCAGCCCCTGGACTGCTAGGTACTGTGGGAATTAGTTGCATTGTAAGATACAGAGCTTTTGAAGGAAAATGCAAATTAAGGCCTTGATCTGGAGAGGTCCTGAGCACCTACATCTGGCATTGACTTTTAATGGGTATTGTGGGTGCTCAGTGGGGTGTATTGAAAACTGTTAAAATTGTGATTCGTTACTTTAAATTCTCTGGGGTTTCTTGGTCCAGTGTGCAGTCAGGGGGCTCTGAAAGGAGGTGTGCAATCAGAGTCTGCTAAGCAGGCAGACAGCCTAGAGGAAGGAGGGGTGACGTGCCTCTCTGTTTTGGGGAGCAGCCTGCTTTGTCTCTTTCTGTTTTGAGGTTCTTGTGTGTTATCATTCTGGAGTCTAAAAAATAAAGTTATGTTTCATGGAAAACTTCCAGCAAGAGCATTTTTATGTTTTTATCTAACGTCTCTGCATGCCCTCAACATAACACTTGGCTCCCTATAAGATCAGACTCCAACAGCCTGATCCAGCTACTGTTAAAGGCAGTAGGAGTGTTCCATTGACTTTAGTAGTAGTAGGATCAGGCCCGGTAGTTTTGCTGTAACTGACATTTTGTATCTTCCTTTCCCCGTCTTGGAAAATGGGGAATGGGATTCAGTTGCAAAGAAGCTGCTATCTACTGGTTAAATGCCCTCTCAAATAAGAGGGGGTGTGAACATAGACTCACAGACTAAGTCAGAAGGACCATCATGATCATCTAAATATCTGAGGCTTAACTAGAGCTAGAATCTTCAGCAATACCCCCCCCACCCCCAACAAGTTTCCTTGTAATGTTATGCTTTGCTAGTGGTTGGATTTTCCCATTTGTTTTTGTTTTATTTTTCATGAAGTAATAGCCATCCACTACAATGATTCATTTTCCATATGTTTTTTAAAATGATCAGAATGCTTGTTAATTGGTTTTAGCTCTTTTAGGAAGTAGCTAGCCACATTACTTACCAGTGATAGCAACACAAGAAAAATGACCCATGCAATATGGCTTTTAGGCACAACTCTTGAATCTCAAAAACAAAACAGAAAACCTCAGTGAATCAAAGCTTTTGATCTGGGACATTGTCTGTTTCCAAGTTTATTCTACACTGTATTAACTCAGTGCATAGAACCGTTTTACCAAGTGGTTCTTTTCACAGACCTACTATTAGGCCAGCAACTTTTGGCATGTGGCCCGTCAGGGAAATCCACTGACAGGCTGGGACAGTTTGTTTACCTGCCTCGTCCGCAGGTTCGGCCGATCGCAGCTCCCACTGGCCGCAGTTCTCTGTTCCAGGACAATGGGGGCTGCGGGAAGTGGCATGGGCTGAGAGATGTGCTGGCCGCCTCTTCCCGCAGCCCCCATTGGCCTGGAACAGTGAACCATGGCCAGCTAAACAAACCGTCCTGGCCCACCAGCGGATTTCCCTGATGGGCCGCGTGCCAAAGGTTGCCGATCCCTGTTTTAGGTCTTCTAATAACCTTACTGGAGCAATGCTCCCAGAGGACTGGCAGCCTGGGTTTTATTCCGAGCTTTGCCATAGACTCCTCCTTGTGTGACTGAGGCCTTGCCTACATTGCAAACTTTTACTGCTGTAACTATAGTTAAAGCAGCAAAAAACAAAACAAATGAAAAAAAAACCAACCAAACAAATTCTAGTGTAGATGTAATTATTCCAGTATAAAAGTTCCTATATCAGTATAGCATATTCTAGTTCAGTGAAGCAAAATAAGCTATACTGGTATAAAGCACATTATATGGGTATACTTTTGTCTACCCTAGGGTTTTTACTGGCATAACTATATTGATTTAAAAAAATCACACTGCTAACAGACATAGCTATGCCAGTAACTATACCCAGTTCTCTTCTAAAGGAGCAGCAGCCACTGGATTTCTTTGTTTCTAGGTTTGTCCCTTTCCCTCTAGGGATGAAATCAGCTGCTTTGTTCCCAAACCTTAATAAGTCTCTCCAAATTGATCATTCTGTTTGGGCATGTGGGTTTTTCAAGCCTTGCTTTAATGCTGAACAATTTCTGCTGGCCTCTTTACTCCTCTGTATTTGTAGGAAACAGATGGCTTGAACTTGTGATTATCTCTTTCTTTGACATCCATTGTAGCTAAACTTTGACATTTGTAGTAGCTTTGAGCCTTTTCCCTGCTTTGCCACAATATTTTCATTGTACAGCCCAGAACTGACTTAGAGCTGGTGTCCAAGGTTGATTTTATTCTCTATTATTTCAGAAGCCTTGCAGGTTTGGAGACTAAATGTCAAAAGTACAAAGGAGAAAAATACACTTTTCTTCCTGTTTTAGTTGGGCAATATCAGGCACGCTTTTTTGGGAAATATTTTTTGGACTGCTCTCAGAAGATCTTAGTCTCTTTCCATTGTTTTATAATGCATTTTTTGCATATCCATCTGGAGTGCACTACTGTATAAACAGGGGTCAGAGGTGCTATTAGAACAGAGAAATGGTCTATCCAGTCCCATGTCCTAGCTTCAACGCTGTCCGATGTTAGCTCCTTCAGAGGAATGTGCCAGACACACACGATTGTGGAAGAGCTTACCTCAGGTCCTCCTGTATAAAAGTTTCTATTTTTATTTCTATATCAGTGTCTACTTCTTTTTATTTTCAGTTGTACTAACCTATTTATTTGCCATAATAAATGTGTGTAGAATTACAGTTTAGTCGATATTTAGCATTTAATGTAGAAGGACACCTTTTGCAAGTTCCTTGGATGATATTTTTTTACCAAGACAGGCTCCTATGCAGATTATTCCAAGAGGGGTCACTGTGGCTGGTAAGAGCAGACTGTGATATATTCTGTTATTTAAATATGCCTTCGCCTTTCCTTCATAGGGGATGGCCTTTACACTTGAAGAGAGGCTACAACTTGGAATTCATGGTCTGCTTCCTCCGTGCTTCTTGAGCCAAGATGTTCAAGTTCTCCGTGTCATGAAAAGCTACGAGACCAAATCCAGTGATCTAGACAAGTATGTTGAAAAAGTCTCCTCCGTTTTCAATTTTTGGCTGGGATTGTGGTCTTTACAACCCGCATGGAGATGTGAGGATCCCCAGTTTGAAGCCCTACCTGCTCAGAGCCCTTCTTCAAAATCACTGTTCTTCCACCTAAGGATACTCTGTTAACTAACAGTTTGCCAGTTGTGTCTATTCTAGCCTGCTCATTGTCTCCTCTGTTCACTCCAGTTGTCTCCCAAGGTAGATATGACACTACACAGAACATGATCACTAACATAGTGCATTCACTTAACTCTATCTGTCTATCAGCATGTTCAGTAAAATGCCTGATGGAAGAACAAAAAGAACCTGCCAGCCTATAAATTTAAAAATCCTATGCAGTGGTAAACATCTGCTTCTCCTCCTATTCCTAACCCACCATCACTTTCAGTATTGCTCAGAAGTAAGGTTAAGATTTTGTCACGGTTATTTTTAGTAAAAGTCACAGACAGGTCATGGGCAATAAGCAAAAATTCACAGAAGCTCACGACCTGTCTGGGGGCGACTGACAGCTGGAGCCTCACTCCTGTGGCAAGGGCTGACAGCTCCTCCAGCCCCACTGCTGCAGGCGGTAGGGCTGAAGCCGAAGAAGTCACAGCGGTCTGTTAAAGTCACGGAATCTGTGACCTTCATGACGAAATCGTATCCTTACTCATAAGAGTTACTGTGGAAAAATGCTAGGTGCTTCCTTTCCCCAGTGGCTGTGTGTTTTGCTTTTCCGTCACTGTTGCTGGCCTGGCAACTGAGAAATTCAGACAAATTGTACCCTGCTCTCTGGCTTAGCACTTCTGCTGCAGCAGCATTGGCCCATCTTTATCATAGACTTAGGCACCAGTCTTGCATTATGTAGCATGCAGACAGACTGCGATGGCTATGAGGAGCCCAGCAGTTTGCCCACATGCTATACTTCGCAGGATTAGGCCCTGAACACATAGTATGGTTAAGTTTGCACGTTTCCATTCTAAGTGGGCCATTTCCAGTTGCTTAGAATATTTTCAGACTTGCACTTTTGTGGCTGAAATTTGACAAATTCATTCTCAGCCCAGGAATCATTTTCAGGAAAGAAGAGAGTATAGGAGAGATGTTTTGACATAGCTCAAGCACATCAGCGAATCCTACATCCCCCACAAAAAATAATATGTGATCATCTAAGACTGTGTCATGACGCATATGTACAGGTGGGCAAAGTTAAGGTTACAGAGGTGACCTAACTTTTCTTTTTATTACCTCATTTTTTAAATTATTATTATTTTAATGTTTCTTTTTTTGGTATGGAATTTAACTATCCTTCTTCATTTTTAACACTGATATCTTCCCACACTCTTTCTAAGGGAATAGGTTGATTGGGGTATGTAAGGTTTGAAGGCTGATGTGTGTTGACGACTGTGGGTGGATGGGCGGGAATTTTATTGGGGGTAGGTTGGAGAATTTTAGGAATATGAATCTATTGCAGTTTGTATATGTGTAGTCCTTAAAATATGTATAGCATGCAGACCACTTGATAAATTTAAATCAGATATAGATTAATTCTGGCACTGGCCCTCATAACCATACCTTCAGCATAGTTCTTCTGATCCTCCTCATTAGCGATATTTGTGCTGCAAATCCTGAAGATCCTGAGGATACTGCAGTTTCTGATTTTCAGAGGCACTGAGCATGCACCTCTCCTGTCGAAGGTAATGGGGCTATGGATTCTGAATACCTCTGGAACCTCAGGCTTGAGCTGCCCATCGAAAGACTGGTACTTGGCCCTTGTGGGAGTGTCCTGCGTTCTTAGCAAGTGAGACATTATGAATCTAGATTCCATTAGCTTCTTCAGTCATGCACGGCATTGGTGGAATTGTCCACACCCAGGTTCTTTGATGTGTGTATCTGTTTTTTTTCTTTTTTTGTTTTTTAGATACATTATTCTTATGACACTGCAAGACAGAAACGAGAAGCTTTTCTACAGAGTGCTGACCTCTGACATTGAGAGATTCATGCCCATAGTTTATACTCCCACCGTCGGCCTGGCCTGTCAGCAGTATGGTCTAGCTTTCAGAAGGCCACGGTGAGTAGACTGACTTTTTTTCCTTCTATAGTTGGATGTGAATGTTCCTTTGTATCGAGCACCCATATTTCTGTGGGTGGCCCAGCAAAAATAAAATTTGATTCTTGATCAAAATATGGGCTGTCAGACAGCTTGTGCTGTTGTGCTTTTAATGACAAGCTGGGTAGCCGGGAGTAACTCTGCTGTCTTCCTGTAAACTGTGAACAGAGGGTGGTTTTGTTCTGAAACAGTACTGTACAGTCTGTGTAACTTAGCCACAAATGTCACTCCGAAGCCACACCCTTCCACTCCCTGCCCTCCTTTCTCTCCTCTGCTGTCTCCATAGCACTGAAGTTCTTTTGACAGTACGACTCTTTGAGGAACATTTGGGCTTTAAATACCTGTTGGTGACTCGGAGAACCTGTGTTGTTTCATATGCCCTGCAATGGATTGCACAGCAAAGTGCATTTTTAGGGAGAAATATTCTGCATGATTCCTTGTAATAATATATTTTTAAAAAATAAATAATTTTGATTAGCTAATGCTCTAATTATAGTTGTTAGCTATGAGGGTTTTAGTGCTTTCCTGAAAGTTCAATAGTGAAGATTCCTTTAAAGTGTCTTATTCTTCCATCCCTCAAATGCATCACTAGGCTAAAAACATAGGCTTTACTCTAAAGACTTGTATTACAAGAATATCTGCATCTAATAAAGGAGTGGAATAATAATAATAATAATTAATATATCACTTTCTATTTTCACTCTCATTGTACCTCCAGTGATGGTGGGTGAGGAGTATGACCCCTATAGAAGGGGTGGGGAAACTGAGGCAGGCTTTATGTGACTGGCCCAAGGTCACTGTGGGCATGTCTATATTGCATCTGGGAGCGATTCTCCTAGCCTGGATCTGCAGACTCGTGCTAGCAGGGCTTGTACTATTGCTCTGAAAATAACTGTACAGACAGTGCAGCATGGGCTGGCGCTCAGGCTCGGAAGCCTGTGAGAGCCTCAACATCAAAGCAAGATCTGCAGGGCTATTTGTAAGGCGCAAGCACAAGCCCCGCTACCACACGTCTGTGGACCCTGGCTGGGAGGTTCACTCCCGGATGCGGTGTAGACATACCCAGAAGGTACTGTATGAGGAAGGCCTTGAGTAAGTGAGGCCTGAAGACCATTTCCACAAAATATGAAAAAGAATAGATTAGGGACAGGATTCATTTGTATTTATGATGCCATGCAGAAATGAAAAGCCACCCTTCTCCCTTAAGTGGATCACCCGGCCCGCTGCTCTGTGTGTGAGAAAGCAGGTTGAATGGGATTGCTATTCCCCCTGCCTCCATTGCACAGAGGTGGGGGCATGGGCGGCGCATGATGGAGGCGTGGGGAGGCTAAGCCTCACCAAACCTTGTGCCACCGGGGGCGGACGGGCAGTGGCGGGGCCTCAGTCAGAAGAGGCAGGGTAGGGGTCTAACCTCCCCAAGGGGAAGCTTCACCCACCACCTATGGGTGGCGGGAAACTTAATGTCCCTCCTGACCCCCAAACTCACTGACCAGTGTGCAGTGAAGGTGACGTCATCTGTGCTGCCCATCCTAGCTAACAGATTGCTTCCCCATCCCCACCCCTCTGCCCTGAAGCACAGGGGAACAAGAGAAGGACCTGTGGTGTGCTGCCCCTTACACATGACAAGACGTAAAGTCCCAGGCCTGGTCTACCCTTAAAAATTAGATTGATTTAGTCACCTCGCTCAGGGCTGTGGAAAAGTTTATGCCCTGAGTGTAGTAGTTAGGTCGATCCTACCTCTGGTATAGATGCAGCTAGGTCGACGGAAGAATTGTTCCTACCACCTCTCAGTGAGGTGGATGAACTGCATCTAGAGAAAAAAACCTTCCATCAATGTAGGAAGCATCTACACTATGGTGCTACAGCTGATGTGCTGCTGTAGTGTAGGCAGATCCTCAATCTGGTCCTAAGGCAGGGGTTCTCAAACTGGGGGTGTTGCGAGGTTATTATATAGGGGGTCATGAGCTGTCAGCCTCCATCCCAAATCCCGCTTTTCCTCCAACATTTATAATAGTGTTAAATATTTTAAAAAGTGTTTTAATGTATAAGGGGGGATCGCACTCAGTGGCTTGCTATGTGAAAGGGATCACCAGTACAAAAGTTTGAGAACCCTTGTCCTAAGGGATTAGGGAAAAGAACCTAAAGTTGCCCCTCCCCCTGGATATCTCTATCTGTGAGCACTCTGAGACAAGGACTGTTGCACTATTCACAGCACATTGTTGGCTTTTCACCAACTAAGGTTAGAACTGGGAGCTCCTGACTTCCAGTCCTATGGTCACACTACTAGACCACACTGCCTCCCCCTGTGAGTAGTTTGATTTAAAGTCTACACAACAAACACTGAGATTAAACCATGTCTTTGGCTTGTCCTCAGTTCTGTTCCCAATCCTCTTGTTATCTCAGGGAAAGCAGCAGTGTCTTTCCTCACGCAGGACTTTGTGCAGTTGTTGCTGTTGGAGGAATTCCCTTCCTATAACTCATTTTTTAAAACCTACATTATTTTGCCACTGGGGTAAGAACATCTGCTCTCATGCACTGGTGTCCCATTGCAAAGAGTTTCTGTTGTTGAACTTAGGCAAGGAACTGTTATGGATTCCAGCCAGTGGCTTTTGCAGAAAAGGGCAAACCATAATGCCCTGATTGCAGTTGATTTCTTGTTTTACGGAGGATACTGTTTCTCTGCTGATATACTGTGAGCTGCAGTCTAATTTCAGTTTTGACTTTGATAAAGGTTGTTTTCCCAAGTCATATTTACAAATAGTCATTCTTCGAACAAGAAAAATTCCTATTTGATTATTTACAGTGATGAGATTCACATGAGAAACATTCATTTTATGTTGTTATTCTTATTCAGATCTGATTATAATTGTGTGGTAGTACTTTTTCCTGTGGAGGAACTTGTGGAGCAAAGTGGTTGGATTGACGGAGTATTTGGCTCAATGCAGCAGGCCAGTACTTCTCGGTTGAAATCACTGGGAGTGGGACCCTCAAAATTTGACGGGAGCAGGGTAAACGGCAAGTGGCAGCCTCAACAGCTCCTCAGCGCTCCTGGTGTCTGGCAGCTCCAGTAGTTCCTCCAGGTCTCTGGCGCTGTAGCTGCCTCTGTCGGCTCCAAGCTCCAGCAGTGAGGGGAAGTCGTTCCGCTCCTCTGGCAGCTCTTCGCCAACTGAGCTGGAGGGCCTGCCTTTTATAGTTCCACTTCCTGTCCCGCCCCTCTGCTTCCGGCAGGGCGACCGCGGGTATCCCAGTTCTGCCCACAGGTGGCGGTCGTGGTTCTCTCCCTCTCTGTTCGGGACGGAGACCACACCTCCTCACTACATGGAGTCACATTAGGGTGACCAGATAGCAAGAGTAAAAAATCGGGACAGGAGTGAGGTAATAGTTGCTTATATAAGACAAAGTCCCTAATATCGGGACGATCCCGATAATATTAGGATATCTGGTCACCCTAGGTCGGAGTGTTGAGCTGAAAGGGGATGTAGAGGGGATTACTATCCAGCTCAGCCCTCCAATGCCCCAACCAATTTTGAGCCATGGCACCCAACCCCAGAACCCATGTGGACAAGAGAGCCAGAAGCAAGGTATATGCTTGCCTGATGACTTTGTGCCGCCCCCCCTAAAAATATGTTGTATTTGGAATGTTCTTACTGTTGCACTCTGAGTTCTGTTTGTACTGTTGCATTCATTAAAAGGATTATGTATAATTGGTTATTTTGCAGACTGGTTAGTTAAATGTATTTCTAAATACAAAGAGATTATTTTTCCAGAGGTTTCATTAAAACTTTAAAAACCATTCACCGTACATCCATTATGAGTCATCATTGCAATTAACACAAAAAATCCTTTAAATAAGGCTGAAATAATGCATGGGTTTTGCAAAAGCACACAGGGAATGCTAAACTTAAACCACCTACACACAATACCCCAGTGTTCGCAGTGTCTGTATCCCAATACAACCCCCACGGGCTAACATGTTCAGCCATGAGACTCAAAATATGAACAATAGACATCCCTTATAGCATTCCCCCATCTGTTTGTGTTTCTCTATAGGATGCCTTGCTGGTTGCTCGAACCTCCAGGCAAGTCTCCACACTTCAGCCTCCCACCCATCTGTAAGGCTTTCCCTGTGCTCTCACAAATATTACGCAAAACACAACACACAACTGTAATGATTGGCATACACCTCCACCCCGATATAACGTGACCCGATATAACACGAATTTGGATATAACGCGGTAAAACAGAGCTCTGGGGGGGCAGGGCTGCGCACTCCGGCGGATCAAAGCAAGTTCGATATAACGCGGTTTCACCTATAACGCGGTAAGATTTTTTGGCTCCCGAGGACAGCGTTATATTGGGGTAGAGGTGTATTATTTTTCTGCTGCTTCAAAGCAATTCCATGAACAGCGCCATCTGCCTTTCAGACAGCCAAATGCACACTCCACAGCCATTCTGCAACTACGGAGGCAATAGTTAATATGTTCCTTCCTTCTATCCAAGTGGCTTGAGTATGGCTTCCTTAGCCAGGACATTCGGGGATATGCTGGGTCTCCCAACATAACCAGACCAACTTCCACCCCATTAATAGCCACAGTGATTCTAGGGGCAAACAATCCTTTCTCCATTAATTTAAATACTACTGAGTTCCAGAAGATCCTAGCGTTGTGGACCATTCCAGACCACTCTGCATTAATTTATGTCTGTAAACTTGCTGTGGTAGTCCACCAGTCCTTGCAGCACCATGGAAAAATTCTGCGCCCTGATGGAGGGCAGGGAGCGGGGGAGAAAATGATAGGTACCTCATTCATCAGTTGCACCTATACAGTTTAGGAACCCCAGGCATGCCCCATACATGCAAGGCTATCAATAATCTTCTGAGCATTACCTCAGCTTCATGGCCCAGTTAGACAGCACCTTATCAATGGCATAGCAGACCTGCTTAAGAATCGACAAAAAGTCCT